TTAGCCCCCTTATATAATAAATATATTTTATAAAATATATAATATTCTGCAAAGTAGTCTTTACTGAGATCATTTTTTAATAATTTTGTCAATATCTTTTTTATCATTATTATATTCTCACCAATGCTTATATTTTTCTTGTATAATTTTCAAAACTTCTAAACATGTATATTTGAACTGATCTTCAAGTACTTTCATAAGTTTAGAAAGAACATTTTTAATAAATATTTTTTTTGTAAAATCTATATTTTTTCTGAACCTAGAATCTCAAAATCATCAAGTTCAAAAATTATCATATTAATTTCATCCTATATAAAAAAAAATTTTTTTAAAAAAAAAATTAACTAAATATTTTGTATAAAATATAATATTACATTAAGATTTTTTTATATTGTTTGGATATAGGCAAATAATTCATATCTAGATTCTTTTTTTTATAATCTTGATTGATTGGCCTGGTAACTCAAAAAACTAATAAACCTGCATTGTCTTTACTAGCATCTCAGTTTGATAATCTTTTGAGAACTTTTTTAATTTTATTAATATTTTTTTTTAACTTGTTAGCTAGTTCATATATTATAAAAAAATAACTAGCATGATTACGTAACACTATCAGTAATCATACTAGTTAAAGTGTGATATTAGAATACGTAAATGTCTATCACACAAACTCCAATATTGAAAAAAATAAATTTACTATACTTTTAATAAGAAATATTTAGCTAAACTCTTAAGCGCTCTGTAAATCTGACAACATAAAAGTGTAAAATAATATTAAACGTTTGTAATATATAAAAAATATATATAAAATTTATAAAAATTACGTGTGAAAAAATACAAAATAAAAAGTCAATAATCAATATTAAAAATGTTTTATACATGTTGTTATGAGCAGAGACAGTTAAAATAAATATAAAATAAAAAAAATAAAAAATAAGTTGTAAAAACAATTAAATTTAAACATGTATTATTTGTAAAATTGATGTTGTAATGTGACAAAATGTATATAAATAGAGAAGAAATATGTATTAATTAAAAAAAAGTGTAAAAAAAAAAATGAAAGAAGAAAAAACACGAACAAAAAAAACACGTTGTATATTTTGCAGAGAAATTCATAGAACTTGTGTATTTTCTGTGCAAGGTTCTAAAAAATGTGATGCTTGTATGAAAAAAAATATTGATTGTATAATCTATAAACCAAAATTAAAAGACTTGGAAATAAAAAGATTACATAAACTTGTAAGGATTCAGGAGGAAGAAATCGAAAAACTTAAGAAATGATTGGTTCATTATAATTTTATTATTGATAATTTTAAGCAAGTAAAAAACTTGATTGATTTTGATACTAAAAATCAATTAAGATTTTAGCGATAAGACAAATTTCTTTATTTAGTTTTATTAAATAAATTTTAATTATATAATACAAAAAATTCTAAATTCTAAATTCGAAAAATTTTACTATATTAAGAAGCTAAAACCTAAAAATTTACAATTAAATTTAAATATCGACAGAGAAAAATGCCTTCTTTAATTAACAAAATTAAAAAACTTTTTTTTAAACCTATCAAAGACAAAACTTTTGATCAAATTGTTTTTAAAATGGCTTCTTCAAATACCCCAGGATTTAAATATTTAAAATTTTTTAAACCAGATTTCCATACTGAAATTGCCGATTTACTTAAAGAAAGACTAACTTTAAAAGATGTTATCACTCTCGTGCTTCAAAATCCAGACTGTGAAAAAGAAATTTTAACTGAAGCGAAAGTAAAAGCTATTAGATTTGATGCTGGTGAAATGTTTGATTTTGAGAATGAATATGATATTCAAGATGGATGGATTATTACAGATGAAGGTTCTGAATGGTTCAATGTAAAAGAATTAATGTTTTTTATAGGGAGAAATTTTAAACATTATCGTTCCATGTAAACCTGATAATTTTATTTTTAATATAGTTTTTCTTGCTTGTATAAATTATTTTTGTCTAAATAAATAAAAAAAATATGAGTATGAAAATTCTCTTCACCAAATATTTGCAATATCGACATCTCAAAGATATAACTTCAATTCTGATATCAGTTTCTTGAAAAATAATAGAATATATCCTCATCATACAAGTATGAATTCAGAATATATTCCTATTTTTCGATGGCAGCGTAATTTGAATTCACAAATACAAAGTAGTTTGGAACGTCCAACCTACCTTTTTTCCTTTTCTATTTAAACATATCAACATCTAACTGATTGTTGGTTTAACTGTAATAAAAAAAAAAATAATTAATAAAACATATTTTTCACTCCATGGGTTGCGGCGTCTACATGTTCGCGTTCCTGGTAAAAAATGAATTTATCCTCGAGAAAAAATAAAAAAAATTCTCTTCCCAGAATAAATTCCTAATACCTGAAGAGCAGCATACACAAATATGAATATTAAGTGAAATAATCACCTTCTTATTGCCTAATAATTTTTTTTTTAATATATATATCTTTCGGGGTATGTTGTTATTAAATAACACTAGAGACAAATATTAAATATAATAAATATTAAATATATTGTCATTCCAATAAAAAAGAACTCTTTTGAATAAAGAATATTAAATATTAAAGAGATATCGAATTTCTCTGTATTGTTTACTAAAAGTAAACCGAAGAGAACAATAATAGCAATGATAAAGTAAAAG